GTTATTATTGATAGGTACTTGTTTGTAGCCATTTTTATTTTTTGTGCCTGTGTTCTTCTTCCCCTTTTTTTTCCTTCTTTTTACAACAATCCCTTTAGCATTTCTTGCATTGCTGGCTTGGTATTGATAAATTCCCTTAGCCTTTCCTTTTGTCTGTGAAGTTCCTGATTTCCCCTTCAGTTTTGAACAATAGCCTTGCTGGATAGAGTATTCTTGGATTCAGTCCCTTGATTTGCATTACTTTATATACTTCATTGCATTCCCTTCTGGCCTGATGTGTTTCTGTTGAGAAATCATTTGATAATCTAATGAGATGTCCTTTGTAGGTAACTCTCTGTCTCTCTCTTGCAGCCCTTAAGATTCTCTCTTTGTTGTTAACATTTGCCATTGTAATTATGACATGTCTTGGTGTGGGTCTTTTGGGGTTCAACTTTTTGGGACTCTGTGCTGTGACTTTTTTCTTCCCCAAATCAGGTAAGTTTTCTGTCATTATTTCTTCAAATAGGTTCTCTAATTCTTGCTGCTCTTCTTGTCCTTCTGGCACCCCTATTATATGTATGTTACTTCGTTTCATGTTGTCCCAAAGCTCCCTTAGGCTCTCTTCCTGCTTTCTAATTTTTTTCTCCAGTTGCTGTTCAAATTGGGCTTGTCAGCCCTATCTTCTAGCACACTAATTCGGTCCTCTGCTTCTCTTAGTCTACTGTTGAAACCTTCTATCATGTGTTTTATTGTAGCTATATCACTTTTTATTTCTTCTTGATTCTTACATAGGTTGTTGATTTTCCCGTTCATCTGGTTTATGAACTGTATGACCATTATTCTTAATTCTTTTTCTGACACATTGCATGCCTTTGTTTCATTTAGTTCCCTTCCTCCCCCCCCCCTTTTTTTTCTTTTTTTGTGACTCTTCCTTTTCTTTTCTTCGGGGGTTGCTTTTTAGTCTCCCCATTTTTGCTGTCACTGAAGGGTCCAGGCGCCGAGTTGCACGGGGTCTGAGCTGTGGTGGCAGGCTTGGGGGGAGCGTCACACACTCCAATAGTCAAGGATGGGCTCAGGGAATTGGGAGGCGCGGCCGCTGTAGGCTGGCAGGAGCTCCACACGCTGACAGTGAGAGGCCGGGTGCCCGGGAGGCATGGGCAAGTGCTTTTTTTAATCTAATATTCCAAACCATCTGCTTAATAGCAGTTATTATAAACAATGAATTTTTTTATTCAATTTTGCAAGTATTAAGCTGATTACCTTTTAATTCTGGAATCTTTGTGTTTCCTTCTTTAAAAATTGGGATAATATTTATCATCTCAAGTCTCCTGAGTTTCATTCTCAGACTTTCCCAAATCACTTTCTAAAAGATTGGCCAACTTTTTAAATAAGTTGACAAACTATACAGCTGTCTCTCCTACATCCGCTTATTGTGATAGAGCTGTATTTAAATGTAAAAAGAAATCTAACTGTATTTGTCTTTTCAATATTGCTTTATGATGTAAGCCTTTTGACATATTTTATAGTTTTTATAGAGACATAGAAGCATTAAACAAACTGTCAAACCTTAGAGGGAAAGCAAGAGGAGGGTGGAGGGGAGGTAAGACATCAACCAAAGGACTTATATGCATGCATATAAGCATAACCAATGGACACAGACAATAGGAGAGTGAAAGCCTGGGCTGGGGGATGGCGTGTGGGCTGGGAAAGGTCAATGGAGGGAAAAGGAGACATATGTAATACTTTCAACAATAAAGAATTAAAAAGTTATGGGAATACGAAAAGGATTTATAAATGTCCTCTTCAAGCACCTAATAACTGACTGAATAATCAATACTGTGTAACTTTATTGTAAGAAAGTCATGCAGCCTTATTCTGAAGAGCAAAACATTTCCCAGATAATTATTCCAAAGAACAGTATATTTAAACTATTTCTTCTTCTCTTCCTACTTCCACTTCTCTGCCCACAGTACCGTGTGGAGTCAATGATGTTGCGTATTGCTAAACCAATGAACTATATTCCTGTGACACCTAATGTACAGCAGAGGTCCCAAATGAGAGCCCCACAATGTGTCCCCCTAATTATGGAGCCTGAATCTCGCTTCTATAGCAACTCTGTTCTTGTTCTGGATTTCCAGTCACTATATCCTTCTATTGTGATTGCATACAACTACTGTTTTTCCACCTGCCTTGGCCATGTGGAGAACTTGGGAAAGTAAGTTTTTCATATTTACAACTATGTTGTGCTTTGTACTTATTACTAAAATTATACTTTGAGTGTCTTTTTGCACTCGATACTATCCTTATGAGCAAAATGAATGAATGGGCTGTAGCACAGCTAATTTGTTATTTTTATTTTCTTACTAATTGACATAGATCATCATATGACTAAGTCAGCATCACCGATGGATGACACATATGAACAAGTTGTGAATACATCAGCCTTGCAACTATCTGTTGCATTCTCCATGCATATCTGTGGTCTCTCTTTAATTGAGAGTTATATTTAATTTGTTAATATAAATCACCTTTCAGTGGAACTGTTTGAGGATTATGATCTTACAACTCCAGTTACCAACTCCTCTTTTCTTAGAAATAGTTTGAATTTTTAAAGTTAAATTGTTAAATGTTTTAGCTGTTCATGTCAAAGAATTTTATAAGCTGAATGGGAACAATATTTTTAACTCGAAGGAGTAGATATTTTTCTCAGGATATAAGAAATACTGTCTTTTTTAATAATGATTTTTGTGTATTTAATACCAAGTGTTATAATTTTATCTAGAATATACTCACTACTTCATAGAAAGCACTTGTGGAAATTGTATTGGTAATACTTTTTATTAAGAAAAAATTTGGGGCTTGTGTAGCCCGCCCCCATCCAAGGAACAGCAGCCTCCTGATCACCACACCCTCTGTCTGAGGAACAGCAGCTGTGTGTGAAGCCTCCCCCCACCACCCAGAGAAGCCATCACAACTGTGAACAGCACCCACCAGAGGAGCTGCTGCTAGAAGAATCAGATGAAAAATTCAATACCATATGCAAGAAGCTAGAAGAATCAGATGAAAAATTCAATACCATATGCAAGAAGCTAGAAGAAACAGATGAAAAAATCAACAACTTAAGTAAGGCCCAAGAAGAAATGAAGAGTGATATAGCTGCCATAAAAAACTCCATTGAAAGTATCAACAGTAGACTAGGAGAAGCGGAGGACCGAATTAGTGAATTAGAAGACAAGGAAGCAAAACACACCCAAACTATACTGCAAATGGAGAAAAAAATTAAAAGACAGGAGGAGAGCCTAAGGGAGCTTTGGGACAACATGAAACGAAACAACATACGAATAATAGGGGTGCCAGAACAACAGAAAGATGAACATGGATTAGAAAACCTATTCGAAGAAATAATATCAGAAAACTTCCCTGAGGTGGGGAAGAAAAAAGTCACACAAGCCCAGAGAGTCCCAAACAAGGTGAATCCGAAAAGACCCACACCAAGACACATCATAATTACCATGGCAAATGTTCAGGACAAAGAGAGAATCTTACAGGCTGCAAGAGAGAGACGGAAAGTTACATACAAGGGATCTCCCATTAGATTATCAAATGATTTCTCAACAGAAACACATCAGGCCAGAAAAGAATGGACGGAAATTTACAAAGTGATGCAAAGCAAAGGACTGAATCCAAGAATACTCTATCCAGCAAGGCTATCATTCAAAATTGAAGGGGAAATAAGAAGCTTCACAGACAAAAAAAGGCTAAGGGAGTTTATCACCACCAAGCCAGCCATGCAAGAAATGCTAAAGGGACTGGTGTAAAAAGAAGAAATAACAAGCTCAGAAAGAAAACAGCCACACACAAAAAAAGAAATGGCTACAAACAAGTACCTTTCAATAATAACTTTAAATGTAAACGGACTAAATGCTCCAACCAAAAGACATCGAGTGGCTGAATGGATAAAAAAACATGACCCATACATCTGCTGTCTACAAGAGACCCACCTCATTAGAAGGGACTCACACAGACTGAAAGTGAAGGGATGGAAAAATATCTTTCAGGCAAATGGAAAGGAAAAGAAAGCTGGGGTAGCAATACTTATATCGGACAAAATAGACCTCAAAGTGAAGGCCATAACAAGAGATAAGGAAGGCCACTTCATAATACTAAAGGGATCAATACAACAAGAAGATATAACCCTGATAAACATATATGCACCCAATGCAGGAGCACTCCTGGAAGATATCAAAGAAGAGATCGACAACAATACAATCATAGTAGGGGTCTTTAATACACCACTGACATCTCTGGATAAATCCTCTAGACAAACAATCAGCAAAGAAACAGCAACCCTAAATGACTCACTTGATCAGATGGATTTAATTGACATCTTCAGAACACTTCACCCCAAAGCCACGGAATATACATTCTTCTCAAGGACTCATGGGACATATTCAAAAATAGACCACATATTGGGTCACAAACAAAGTCTCCCCAAATTCAAGAAGATTGAAATCATACCAAGCATCTTCTCAGACCACGATGGCATAATATTAGAAATAAACTACAATAAAAACAACCCAAAATACTCAAAAAAAAGAAAAAATTTGGAAAATTATTTACAATCCTTTTAAGGCTTAAGTTTTTCTTTAAGAAACTTAGTGTAGGGTAATCATGTGTTGAGTTGAAATTTGGTATTTCAGTATAGACTTTATCCATAAATTTTAGGATAGTGTCATCTAAGAAATATTTCTTTTAACAAATTGTGAATATTTGAAGAACTGTTTTTTATAAATAGACAAGCATGTTACTAAATACAAGAATCATGTTTAAATGTTTGAAATGATTTTCTAATGGAATTAGAAATACTCCTAAAATTGCTTAGAATCTCTTCTATGATTGGAGAAAGTGTTTACTTAATATTTTCTTCCTTAACAGGTTTGATGAGTTCAAATTTGGCTGTACCTCCCTGAGAGTGCCTCCAGATTTACTTTACCAAATTAGGCATGACATCACAGTGTCCCCCAATGGAATAGCTTTTGTCAAGGTAATAATACTCTCTTGTAAATGAAAGAAAGGTATCTGCTATGGCTTAACCTTTGGAGAGCTAATGGTTTAGACTTTGTTGGCCTATAATACAGAGGAGGGAAATAAGTTTGCTCGAATATCTTATCTCACACAGTCAAAAATATAGGAATCTTCCAAGAAATAAATTTTTAAATAGTCATCTTGTTTTGCATGAATTTAGGTTTAAAATATTTTAATTATTATATTTTAGTTTTCAGTGAAATATTGAAAGAAATAAACATGTATACCTTCTGCCCTCTGTTAGAATCTGGCAGACTTAAATAGCTCCTTGATGATCACAGTGATGTTAACTTACCAAGATTGAAATTGCTTTGATGTGTACACTCTGCTAATTGTTCTTCTACATTATTTTAAATTAAGACTATCTTAGAAAGAATGATACTCTTGTTTATTGATTGAATTTCTAAAAAGATATCCAAACTAATAATAAGGTCTCTTTTTTTTTCTCTCCCTTATCTCCCTTCAAAAGAGACTGAGGAAAGCCTCATAAATGAATAAATTAAAGACAAATAGGAGAGATCTGGGAGAATATTATATTGCCTCTCCTTTCTTTTCAATTTCCTTAGCATACTAGAATCATGGGACAGGAGGGCGATTGATGGTAGCATGGACCTCACGAGCCCTCAAATTCATTCTGGTGTACTTAGCAAAGGGAGCATCTTTCTTTACCAGTAAGAGCATGCTGTGTAAAATTAGCCACTTAGATATGAGGAAAATTTTTACCAGAGAGTTCATGATATATTCCTTTTGGGGAAAAGTATGTCTTCACATTATCACAAATATTATGTCCTAACATAAACATATGGCTTCTTTAAACAGTACACAGAATGAATTAAAGATTAGACTATGTTTTCATTGTCACACATCTAGCAGCTTATCTCCCTTTAACATCATTTTTAAAACTTACATCTACATTTTGACCCAATGTATAAAGTTTAATGAAAATAAGGTGTGTTTTTTAATATTCAGGAGTATGGTTATCCTGTACCTACAGCTTTAATTGTTCAGTCCAACATGCATTATTACCTTGCATTTATCTGTGAATCATCCTCAGAGTTAATACTGTTTTTTGGTTTTCATTCCTGCTGGAGTTCTCATAAATTCTCCCTAATCTTGATTAATACAAATGATTTTTTTTTGTATCAACAAATTTTATCACCTCACTATTCATCCCCTCTTCCAGATTGCTAATAAATATAGGCCGGAGGGGATGGCTTAGTGGTCTAAGCATCAGATTTGAAATACCTAGAGTCCCTGGAACTGCAGGTTTGAATGTCAGCAGAGTCAACCCAGCTCATCATTCTTCCAAGGTAGATAAATGGAGTTCCATGCAGATTACTGGGGTCATGAGGATGAGATCTTTAAAAACTGAGGTTTGTTATGAGTGATACAAATCCCGTGTGTCTTTCTGAAAGAGTGAGGGTTTGGATCAAAGTTTCAAACAAAATTTCCCTCTGAACTTGTTCTATGGTCTCTCCTTATGCACTAATTGACATCCTCCTCCCTGGGGGTCTTTGCACTCACGAAATAATACTTCATTAGATTTATAACTATTACAGGAACCTTTTAGGGAAAAAGTCCTCTGCAGAAGAAAGAAAATGTGATGATTTTGTATTGACTGCCATTGGTTCTCTGGCCACTTTATTGTTAGAATGTTTCAGTGCATGACAGTTGGCCATTGTTATACTTTGTGCTTCTTAATTATCTAAATCTAATGTTTGAGGGATTTCAAACATTCTTTTTTTCCTTTATGATAGCCTTCAGTAAGAAAGGGTGTGCTACCAATAATGTTGGAAGAAATTTTGAAGACTAGACTCATGGTGAAGCAGTCAATGAAGGCTTATAAGCAAGACAGAGCCCTTTCACGAATGCTCGATGCACGACAGCTAGGACTTAAGCTTATAGCAAATGTCACATTTGGCTATACAGCTGCTAATTTTTCTGGGAGAATGCCATGCATTGAGGTAAGTGGTATAATTCTGTAGTTTCTTCAAAAGAGACTAAAGTAGCGTTAAATGAAAACCTGTTTATTTTTTTTTAACATATTTTTTATTGATTTTTTACAGAGAGGAAGGGAGAGAGATAGAGAGTTAGAAACATCGATGAGAGAGAAACATCGATCACCTGCCTCCTGCACATCTCCTACTGGGGATGTGCCCGCAACCCAGGTACATGCCCTTGACTGGAATCGAACCTGGGACCTTTCAGTCCGCAGGCCAACGCTCTATCCACTGAGCCAAACCGGTTTTGGCTGAAAACCTGTTTATTAAAGCAGTTTGTTTTGTTTTGAAACCTTAAAGCGTTTCATGTCCATGACATTGGATTAGTTTTCTCAAACCGGGGCTATTGTGTCTTTGATAATTTTAGAAATTAGCATACACATATTTATACATAACCTGGATGACCATATTGTAACCAACTATTAGCATAAGATTTCAATGCCACATTTATAGCAATGTTTACAACAACCTTGGTACTAATTCCTTTTAATGTATTGCTAGAGATCTGATGAATAGTGTAGGTTGCTTCTCCACATGTCAGAATGAACAACAATCATTTCATATTTACTCATGTAGCAGTAGATATAAAGCAAAACCTTTCTTGCCCTAACCGGTTTGGCTCAGTGGATAGAGCGTCGGCCTGCGGACTGAAAGGTCCCAGGTTCAGTTCCGGTCAAGGGCATGTACCTTGGTTGCGGGCACATCCCCAGTAGGAGGTGTGCAGGAGGCAGCTGATCGATGTTTCTCTCTCATCGATGTTTCTACCTCTCTATCCCTCTCCTTTACTCTCTGTAAAAAATCAATAAAATATATTTTTTTTAAAAAAGCAGAACCTTTCTTTTATAATGGTAGTTGTAACTAAAAGATACTTTTCATAAAATAAGACTAATTTCTTATTATTTACTAAAGTAGGGTGTTAATTTGATATGAATTCAATATACTGTAACAGAGTAATATAATAATTTACTAGTGATTGAGAAAAGAATGGTGTAATTTGTTTTGTTAATGATCTTTTTGTGTCAAATGAAGGCCAGAACATTGTGGTCTACCAATTATTTTCCTCTTTTATATACAATCTCTCAGCCCTGTACTAAAGTAATATTTTTCAAATTAGAAACCATGGCACAAAGTATCCGACTGTGTTTTAATTTAATTACCACTCTTCCCTCTCTCCTTCCCCCTCACCCTCATGCCACTGAATCCTTCAGGTTGCATAGTCTTCGGGCAGGGGTAGCTGCAAGAGTTCTGACTCTTCCGGGTGTAACTTAAATGGGTCAGAGCAGGCAGCAGGAGGTGGACAGTTAGGGTCCATGTGTGCATGTATCTCAAAAGCACATTTGACTCTGACACTAGGTGGCTCACCTACCCAGCTATTTGCCATCACATATTTTGAAGTGTATCTTTTTGAAAGTGGCAACAGATGACAGATTAAAGATTTTATTAAAACTTGAATTTCAATTAGATAACATGATTTTTTAAATGTATTAGGTTATTGTTGACCTACTTTTAATGCATGAAAAGGTCTCAACAGAGACCTTTAAATTTCTGCTACAGTATTTCTATTTATTCCTTTGTTCATACACTTAATATCTCCTTTATAAAGCAACTTTAAACATCCTCTTAACTACTATTTAATCCTACATTTAGTTCAGATAATTCAAATTTTACAGTTAAAGGGGAAGGGATTATTATTACTATTGTCACTTCTTAACATGAGAGGAAAAAGTATGTAATTCTTATTTTAAAATTCTAAAAAAGAATGCTCCATTTATTCTGATGGGCAATTTTCCCCGACTCTTAGCTTTAACGAGTTAAATAAATGAAGCAGCAATGGTAAATACTATGTCAAGTTGATCATTAAGATTCACCACTCACCAGTGAAAAAACCCGTTAGACATGTACCTGCCTACTTGATTTAAATTGAATACTTTAATGTAATTTCCATCATATAATTATACGTTTTCCTTGTTTTAGGATTATCTAAAAATTTTGTATAACCAATCACTGAGATTTCAGTTCAGCATTAACTTTAACAATACTGAAAAATTATCATAACCTCCAACAAAATTTTGAAAGACACACATACACTCATGCATATACACAGAGTAATTTCCTGCTTGGTTGGTTATAAAGGCATATTAGAAAGTCCTTGAATAAATAAGGTTCTATTATTCCAGGAATCAAATGTAGCTGTGTACTTGTGTAAAATGCAATCCATTGTACTTACTGTTATACTCACAGGCAAGTCTGTATATTGACTAGCTCCTTCTTTTAAATTCTTCATCTTATTTTCTTCTTGAATACTTGTAGAAAGAATGGTGACCCTGGTGACTATTTAGTTTCTTTTTATGTTCTTTTCCCTTTATTTAATTTTAGAAATGTTTAGTATTTAAAATTACGTATTATATTTTAAAAGTCTATTGACCTTACTAAGCTAAGTTAAAGTATTATTTTCAATGTGTTTGAACCAACAGGTTGGTGATAGTATTGTTCACAAAGCCAGGGAGACCTTGGAACGAGCTATTAAACTGGTGAATGATACCAAGAAATGGGGAGCAAGGGTTGTGTATGGTGATACTGACAGGTAATGAACTTTCTGTTTTGAAGCTGTCTTTTTGCATCTCTTTAGATATTCATTTCAGTGTTTAGAATGGCTTAAGAGTAATCATTCCTAAAATACAGTTTTATCTGAGTCCTTTCTGGTTCTTATGATCAGAGTTAGGACAAGTCCTGATTTACCAAATATGATCCTAAGAGCAAGAAAATGTAAGTGTCCTGAGCCAAACACTGTGAAGATTCCCATGGCATCTTTCCAGGTAGCCAAGTAGAAAATGATCTATAAAAAACTGTGTACACAGGAGTCTAGTCTGTTTAAAAAAACAGCTTTTAATGTGAATAATATCTCATATAGCTGCAGCTCTCTGAATTTAAATATATATCAAAATAAATAATAAAACTGTTCTTGAGGGACAATTGCCAAAGTTGTGAGTGGTTAACTTTTTACTAGGCTCCAAAGTCTCTTGTTAAGAATGATTCTTCAAAAGGAAATCTATAACCTGTTTTTTAAAATAAGGCTATATTGGTATAATGAGTATCAGATGGGCCTAAAGAGACAATATTATAGCTAAGGCCTGTTTGTTCTGCTTTAGTGAATGTTAAAATTAATTCAGATTGAGATCATTTATTTTAAAGACCTTAAGTAATATTGGATAAATACTTCTTTTCTTAAGCTTTTCCTATCAGTCTCCAGTATTGGCAGAGAAAGAGCTTTTCTAAAGAAACCATCCAAAGGAGATTAAAGTCCAATATAAAAAACACTTGAAGAAATAGGAGATTGGTTTAGGTGACTCCAAGAGTACAAACAAAAGTCTTAAAGTCATGTCTCAAGATATTGTCCATGTCCACTATTTAATGTCTTTCTACTAAAATTATAAGTATTAGCCATTGCTTCTGTTGATTTCAGATTGTGGTATATATTGAAATGTAAAATGCCATTTTAAAGTTAAATTATATTAGGAAAAAATGACCAATACTTTTGTTTATAAGTTACTTTTGAGTATTTTTGTATTGGGATTTTTTTATTCATATTAGAAATTCTTTCCTCTTGACCTGCATGTAGTGCTGGTGGGACTATTCCTCCTAAATATCTTTCTGGAATTTAGTTTAACAGTATCTTTCAAAAATATTTTTAGTGTCCACCATTTATCAAGAATTTTTTTTAAAATTTACTTATAGGAATTTATTATGAGGTCACAGAGGTGTACCAAATTATTTTATATTAAATATTAGAAAAAAAAATTTAATGACCTAAATTTTCAGTGATAGTTTGGTTAAATTATACTATATCCATACATTGAAATACAGTACAACTGTTAAAATAATGTAAAAGAACTAGTGACACTGAAAATGTTCACAATATACTATTAAATGAAAGGAGAAAGTTACCCAATGGTATGATCTGTGATCCCAAATGAGAAAAGATTTACAGATATACACAAAAAATTTGGGGTATCTTTTATCTGAATGATAAGAGTATGTAGATGGCTATTTTCTTCTTTGTGCCTTTTTGTGTTTTCTAACTGTTCTTCAGTAAACATGTATTACAAAATAATATGTGTGTCTTTTTAAAGCTGGGTCGTTCTAGAAGGAGATTTCCTCCCACATCACAAGTAAAATTCCCATGTCTTTATACTCACATTTTTTCTTATTTTATGATTGACCAAATTGTGTGTCATACAAATCTATAAATGTCTAGGAACAACCCAGGATCATCTTGGCAGCTGTGATAACTGAGCTGGTCTATGTGTAACTAAACTAGCAATATCAGATGTCTTAAAGAGCTGTAACAAGATATACCATGTGTGCACAGGAAAGTTGTGATAATACAAGAAAGCTTAGATCAGAAGCAATTTAATAAAGGATAAGAGGGGGGAATTTTTTTTTTAGTATTAGACATGTTAGCCAGAAAAGTTACTATTGGTGAAACTTTTTTCTTACACTGACTTCCTCTTTACCCTACTCTATTTTTAATCTTCTAGTATGTTTGTGCTACTGAAAGGAGCTACTAAGGAGCAGTCTTTTAAGATTGGTCAGGAAATTGCTGAAGCTGTAACTGCTACCAATCCCAAACCAGTGAAATTGAAGTTTGAAAAGGTAAGAGAAATGTAATACTAATGATCACATATAAAAATCACATAGCTTCTAGACATTTCTGACTTGTTGAATATATTTTCAGAATCAATAACAGTACACAGGCTATTAAAGTGTTATATTTAAAATATTTTTCCTTAGTTTTATATAATTTTCTCAAATCCTTTAAGTAATGTCTTTACATAAAGAAATGAAAAGACTGTTTCGGTTAAGTATTGATGTATAACAGACCACCCCAAATGCAGTGGTGTAAAACAATCACCATTTTATTATGCTCAGGAATTCAGAAAGGTTGCAGCAGGGATGGCATATCTCTGCTCCACCATGTCTAAGTCCTCAGCTGAGAAAACTTAAAGGCTGGAGGTGACCCAGCTAAGGACTGAAATCACCTGAAGCGTGATCACTCTCACGCTGGCTCTGGCTGGGACCCCAGCTGGGGCTGTCAGCTGGAGCACCTGCACATGGCCTTTCCCTGAGGCTATTTGCTCTTCCTCACAGCATGATGGCCGAGTTCTAGGAATGAACAAAAGCTGTTTTGCTTTTTGTGACTTAGTCTCAAAGTCACACACATCATAGCCTGTCTAGATTTAATGGGAAGAATGTCAGAGTTGCATTGTAGAAAGACCATGTGGAATAGGAGATATTAGTTCTTTGAAATAGACAGTTTGCCACAAGGACTTTCGACTATTTTCACTTTACTTTAGATGTCAAGTATGTATTTAGTTCTTTCTATATACAGTAGGTCCTCGGGTTACCTCAGAGATCCGTTCCTACAGCACGATGTAATGCGATTTTCGCCGAAATTCGGAACCCACATATATAAGCACCTACATCACTCACATGGAGCACATACACAGCAGTAATGAAGTGAAACAGTAAAAGAAAAAAAATATTTAAAAGATAATTCCTGACCATTACTTGTGGTAAATAAATAATAAAAACCATAAAGCACATATGTACATATGTCAAAATGATGGAACTTTTTTTTTTATAAATAAATGGGAAGTGGCAACGTAACCACCGAAATGACGTACGTGGAGTCCGACGTAACCTGAGGACTGTCTGTAAAAGATACTGAGCTAGGAGAGGTGTGGAATGCAAAGCAGCCTAAGACACAGTCCTGCCTTCTAAGAGCCAATAATCTAAAAGGAACAATTAGAAATGTATATAAGTGATCTTTTTTATTGTAAACGTAGGAAAGTCTCATAAAAGCAGACTCCCTAAGCACTGTAAGAGCACAAAGAAAAGAAGGTATGCTGTCCTGGCTGGATGGGGGCACTCTATGTAGGAGGTAATATTGTACTGTGTCTCGGAAAACAGTTAGATTTTCAGTAGGCAGCCACAGGCAGCAGCATTTCTCAGAAAAAAAATGGCATGTAGAAGGATGTGGAGTTGGAAAAGCCCAATGTGGGAATACGGAGAAGCAGAAGGGACATCTGGAAACATAAAGTTAAGACCAGATTGTCTTGGATACCAAGGTACAGTGTTTAAACTTGATTCAGCTAAGTTTATCAAAGAAGAGCATGACTTAGGCAGATAGGTTTGGGGAGGATTGACCTGTAACAGTGAACAAGAGGGGCTGGGAAGAGGAGAATCAAGACAAGATACTTCTTGCAACCTGCATAGCCCGAACTGGCAAGAATAAAGAAAGGACAATTCAAGAGATACTAAGAAAAGAAGGGTTAGTAGGAGTTAGATATGGTTGGTTTAGGAGGGCTGGTGTAAAAAGGACAAAAAAGGAAGAGTCAAATATGGCTCCCAATGTTTATCGTATACCTACTCTGAAGCAAGAATCCTGCTAGAAGAGACTCAAAGAAGACTTGGACATGGTATCTGCCCTAAATGAAAAGTGAGCATTCTAAGTGGGGGAAAAGGGAAAATTAGAAATAGTGGTAATGGGTACTGTCCTAGAAGTATGTGTATGGTGCTATGGACACCCAACCCCTCTGGCAAAGTGAAGAGCATGGTGTGCTTAGAAAATAACAGCAAACATAAAAATTTACCTGAAATGGGTCACAGACCTAAACATGAAAGCAAAAACTGCAAAACTTCTCAAAGATAACATACATTTGTTAAGAATTGTGAAGCTTTTGTTCATGATGAATATTAGTTTGTAGTGTTGTTTTTTTCCTTGTATTGTCTTTGTTTGGGGGACCAAAAAAAAAAGGTTGGCCCTAACTGGTTTGGCTCAGTGGATAGAGCGTCGGCCTGCGGACTGAAAGGCCCCAGGTTCGATTCCGGTCAAGGGCATGTACCTTGGTTGCAGGCACATCCCCAGTAGGAGGTATGCAGAAGGCAGCTGATCGATGTTTCTCTCCCATCGATGTTTCTAACTCTCTATCCCTCTCCCTTCCTCTCTGTAAAAAATCAATAAAATATATTTTTTAAAAAAAGGTTGGACTCATAAAATGAGTTGGAAGTGTTACTTCTTCTAAGATTAGTGCAACTATTTCTTCCTTAAATGGTTGATAGAATTTACCAGTGAAGCCATCTGACCCTGAAATTTTATTGGGATGGAGGTTAATTACAAATTAAACACCTTTCATATATATTGAATTATTCAACTTTTATGTCAGTTTTGATAACTGTGGTTGTCAAGGAATTTGTCCATTTATCCTAAGTTGACAAATTTATGGGCATAAATTATATTTCCTTATTGTGGTTTTGATATCAATAAGATTTTTAGTGGTATCCTTCCTTCTATTTTTGATATAATTTTTCTTTTCTTAATCATTCCATTAATTTTTACTCTTTATGTCCTTATACTTACTTGGGTTTAGTTTGCTTTTCCTTAGTTTAGAAGCTTGAATCATTGATTTCAAACATATTTTTTAATTATAAGCATTTTAAAGTAAATTTGAAGATATAAATTTTCCTCTAAACACTACTTTAGCTTCACGTTTTAAAATCTTGTGTTTTCATTATCATTTGCTTCAATGATAGGCTATTTAGAAGTGTGTTGTTTGAGTTCCAAATATTTAAGGATATTCCAGAAATCTTTTTATTATTCCTAATTTAATTTCATTGTGGTCAAAGAACATACTTTGTATGACTTTAGTGCTTTTAAGTTTGAAATTTGTTATTTGGTCCAACATATGATCTGTTTTAGTGAATTCTCTCATATAACACTGAATAGCCATGTGTATTCTGAATGTTCTATAAATGTCACTTAGTTGATAATGTTGTTGAAGCCTTCTATATTCTTACTGATTTTCTGTAAATTTTTAAAAGACAGGTGTTAAAATCTCCAAGTATAATCATGGATTTGCCTTTTTCTCCCTTTTAGTTCTTTCAGTTTCTATTCCATATGTTTTCAAGTTTACTTATTAGATGCCTACACATTCACGATTATGTATCTTCTTGGTGAATTGATACTTTTATCTTTGATAATATTCCTTGTCTTAAAATCTACTTTTTATTAAATAGCCACTCCAACTTTGTTTTGATTAGTATTAGCATGTGTATATTTTTCCATATTTTATTTTTAACCTTTATGTGTCCTTGTATTTAAAGTGGATTTCTAGTAGATAGCTTATAGTTAAGCCTCACTATTTGATCAGATATAATCTGATCATTTCTGCCTTTTTATTGGGATGTTTAGACCATTTACATTTAATATGATTATTGATAAAGGAAGGGGAAGGATCTATTTGGTGACTTAAAAAAAAGGGAGAGTGCACATACCCATTGATCTAGGAATTCCACTTCAAATTTTTCTATGGATTAATCCATGCAAGGTTGGTGGGACAGTATTTGTAATTCCAAAAGACTGGAAACCTCCTAAGTGACCCATAGTAGGTAACAGGTTACATAAATTGTGATACCCTCACATAATGGACTATTATCTCCAAGATAAGTTATTAAATGAAATAAGCAAAGTTCAGAATGATGTATATAGTAAGCTACCCTTATGTGTATAAGTACATGTATGTGCATAGAATATCTCTGGAAGAATACACAGGAGATGAATAACAGAGGATGGCTCTAGGGAGGGAAAAGTAGAGGTTGGGGGACCAGGACTTTTCATTGTAAATTCTCTCACAACTTTTTTAATATTGAGAGCTATCTACTAGAAATCCACTTTAAATACATGTGTGGGTAATGCTTAAAGCAATTTTTAATTATTTAAAAGGGTATTATTGATGACTTTTGAGACAGCAGTGTCAGTTGAGGTAGGAGCAAAATTGATAGTACAGGCAAAGGAGTACATGATGAAGAGGTAAAGACAACTCATTGTGTGCGTTTTCACCTCTAAGTATTATATTGTGAATTAGTTGGGCCCTGAGACATATTTAGACTTTTTCTATAATTGACATTTGTTTAAAGAGAAAAAAAGACTTAAAAATAGATATTCATGGTAGAGGGGGAAAAATGGTTATTGAGAGACATTTTGTTCCATTTTATCACAGGTATATTTACCCTGTGTTTTACAAACAAAAAAGAGATATGTGGGTTACATGTATGAAACACTGGATCAAAAGGACCCAGTATTTGATGCAAAAGGAATAGAAACAGTCAGAAGAGATTCCTGCCCTGCTGTTTCTAAGGTAAGTTTTATCTATCTTGTTTTCATCTTTGAGAAATAAGCAGCTAAAGAATCTAGTGAAAATCCTTAGCACACATCTAGGCAGAAGAACTATAGCCTATATGCCTATCTATAACTACAAGAGGAACTAAATGATGTTTGAGAATTAGTTTCTAATGAAACAACTTATCTGATGTTAGTCCTTAGTTTCTAACTCCTTCCCACACCTTACCTTTTACCACAATTGCTAAAAAAAACAACACATGAACTTGATAAGATTTTCCTGCCTATCACCTGGAACTGATCCTATATAGTAAAAGGCTAATATGCAAATTGACCAAACGGTGGAACGACCAGTCGCTATGATGCGCACTGACCACCAGCGGGAGCACCGTTCAGCCAGAAGGCCTGAGCCAGGCTCATGGCTGGCAAGTGCAGCAGCAATGGCGGGAGCCTCTCCTGCCTCAGTGGCAGCACAAAGGATGTCCAACTGCCTGATTAGGCCCGCTCCCCATCAGTCAGACATCCCCCAAGGGCAGCTGGACTGCGAGAGGGCACAGGCCGGGCTGAGGGGGGGACTCCCCCCCCCCCAGTGCACGAATTTCGGGCACCAGGTCTCTAGTAAATATATATTATCATATGACAACACGCAAAAGCTAGGAAGCTTTTGGATAAAGAGAAACTAGCAACAGAGATATTTCATAAGCAATATAATGCATCCTAGATTAATTGAAATTTTGTTTACTTGGGTCATCAGATATAAGTTAGGCTTAGCAGATATAAGTTAGGAAGATTTCTGAAGAATGGTACTTAAATGACTGAAATTTCTCAGCTATGGTAATATTAACGATAGTATATTATATTTAATTTTTCTTTACTCAGTCCCAGACTCTTCCTATAACCAAAAGTAAGTGGCATAAATGGAAACGTACTCGACACACTGAGTTTTATGAGAGCATTAAAAGCATAATAAATTGTCAATTTGTTATTGTCAGAATGACATATATGTAATGTTATACGAATTTGAGGTGTTCGTTAATACTAGTTTCTGGAAGAAATATCATCCAGTGCATTCTTTCTCTGAGGGCAGAATTGTACCTAGGCTAAACTAGCAAACATCCTGTGTAAATAAGTATGGGTTCCAGTTCTCAGAATAAGATCAGAACTTTTACCTGGAACTAATTTAAATTCAGTCCACTAAATAAATCCACGTATGTCAGTCATTTTCTAGTAGAAATAATCCCAATACAGAAAATTCTGTCACAGTTAGTATATACTTATTGACACTAGAAAAAGACTAATTTTGATTTCACTGCTTGGTGATATTTAAATTGTTTCCTGTCCATCTGAATCAGGACCTTTTTACAACAGGGTAAATAAAACAATGCATGAAATCATGCCTGGCTTCTTGTGCCTAGAGCGCTTTTACCTGTTTAAGAAAACCGAAATGTTTTTTGTCACTTCACATGGAGCAAATATTTCATCTGCATGTCATTCAATATTTCATCTGCATGTCATTCGATATGATTTTTCTCAAATGACATGATATTCTACTTTTAGAAATAGCTATATAAAGTCTCTAAAATATTTTCTAATTTCTAATAATTCATCCAATCATTGTAAATAGCAGGTTGTTTAGGTAGATCACATTAACCAGTAGTCACATAATTGAAAATATAACAATAATGATGATATGCTAGGGGATATTTTATCTATATGCGCATATCCGTTTCTTTTTCTTTTTTTGTTTTTTTTTGTTTTAAGATACTTGAGCGTTCTCTAAAGCTGCTATTTGAAACAAGAGATATAAGTTTAATTAAACAGTATGTTCAGCGACAATGTATGAAGCTTATGGAAGGAAAGGCCAGCATTCAAGATTTTATCTTTGCCAAGGAATACAGAGGAAGTTCCTCTTACAAACCTGGAGCTTGTGTGCCAGCCCTTGAGCTTACAAGGTAATGATGTGCACAGCAGTACAAATCTCAACTCTTAGCAAGTATAGTCCTGGGGTTCTGAACGGTTTGGAGAAGATGAAAAGACTCATCCATAGGCACAGATACACGCTTGTTTCTTCACGTGCAACCTCACTGAAAGTGAATGGGGCTCCCGCACTTTGTGAGCTCTCAAGAGGAAGGAGGAACTTGCATCTCCACTTCTGGACTCCCTTTGGGTAACTGAAGTCAGTGAATTGTAATCTGGGGCAGAGCTTGAATCATTGTTTCTCACATCAGTCACTAGGCAGTCCTTAATAGTGATCTACCAAAGCACTGACATGTGTCATTCTGGAATCAAGTCATCTAACCAGCAAAACTTTCTTACTTTCTTATCTTTCATTGTTAGATTTAGGATTTCTAGTTCTTATTATTAGGGGATTAGAAACATTTTTAGCTAGTTGATATCTGCCAACTAAGTATATACAGTTCTCAAAAAAGTTGCAACTCTAACGCAAAGTTATCCCTTGTAGCTTTCTCACGGTTTCAATGTCGTTTACTTCTCATTTAACTTTCTGGAAAGGCACATCCCATGACAGTCTTTGAGTGCATATTTTATTTGGATTTAAATAGGAAAATGCTTACCTATGACCGGCGCTCTGAGCCTCGAGTTGGGGAGCGAGTGCCATACGTGATCATTTACGGGACCCCCGGAGTACCACTCATCCAGCTGGTGAGGCACCCCGTGGAACTCCTGCAGGACCCGACTCTGAGACTGAATGCCACTTACTACATCACCAAGCAGATCCTCCCACCCCTGGCAAGAGTCTTCTCACTTATTGGTATTGATGTCTTCAACTGGTATCACGAATTACCAAGGGTAAGTCTGCTAATGTACCTGTGTGTGACTGTAGAGAGAAGTCACTGAAGATTTCCTGTAGAAGCAAATATTTTATTTAATGTTAAAATAGCATTTTACTAAAGTAAAGCATGCAGTGTGGATCTTAGCAATCTCAGTTCACTCAGAAGCCTGACGGAGTGGTCTGACTCTGTAATAATCTGGGATACATTGCGCTAGGAAAAAAGTAGCTTTTTTATCTCCTTTTTCGAATTAGATCTGTTCAGTCATTTGCTGTTACCTCAGATTATGAAAGGCGGATGGTATTCAGGCAAACACGTACAAATTCATGCTCACGTTATTTTCACTTTCTCAGTAAGCACTTACGACCCAAGGTGAAGATTAAGCTAGTAAGCGAGGCTGACGTGCTTCAGAGTCTGTGCTGGTCAGCATCTATAACGCTGTATCCTGCTCCACGCCAGAAAGCTGTTACTATTCCATCTCATCACAGAAAGAAGTTAAACCACTGGCATTTCTAAGAAGCTGACCTAATTACTTTTATGCAGTGATTTATAAGACACCAATGGTATAATATGCCAATGGTATAATAACAATATGATCATGTATTTCAATGTAAAAAGAGAACCAGAAGACAGACTGTTGAAACCAGCATTAACTCCAAGTGAAGAATGCTTGGTGGTGTGCATCCAGTTGCATTTGAGATGCTCCAGGTTCACTTTTGCTTGAATTTGCACCCTGCTGCCTAACAGGTCATTTTTAACCTCTACCTGCCTTGTTTCCGTGGCCCACGTCGTGCAGCCTTAAACAGCATCTCTCTCAGCCTGGATCTCTCCCATTGCCCTGTGTGACCTCAGACATCTATGTTTTTCAACCAAGAATACTAAGTGGCAGGAGATTATTATTTTTCCAAAAGGAAAAACAGTATATCTGATGATAATTAAGATGTGATCTCTATGAAAGGAAGGACTTTGTTCATTTCTATAGCCTCCCTGTCTAGAATAGTGCCTGACACACAGTGGTTACTTAACAGTTGATGCGTAAATGAAATAATGCCTCAGTAGATTAGCAGTTAGCATGAGAATAGTAGCTCTGCTATGCAGCTGGCTCAGAGTTATTTCTGAATTGATGATTTTATAGATCCAGAAAGCCACCAGCTCCTCTCGAAGTGACCCTGAAGGGCGGAAAGGCACCATTTCACAGTATTTCACTACCTTGCACTGTCCTGTGTGTGACGACCTGACTCAGCACGGCGTCTGTAGTAAATGTCGGAGCCAACCTCAGCATGTCGCAGTCATCCTCAACCAAGAAATTCGGGAGTTGGAACGCAAACAGGAGCAACTCGTAAAGGTACAGCTTCATTCAATAGACCCAGAATCCCAAGCAGTCTGATGTTTGGGGAAATGTAGTCAGCTCTCAGATTATGAGATATCAAACTGGTATGAAAGGTAAGTGGAGTAAGGATTATCCTATATAATAAAAGGGTAATATGCAAATTGACCCTAACAGCGGAACAACTGGGAACGACCAGTCACTATGACACGCACTGACCACCATGGGGCAGACACTCAATGCAGGAGCTGCCCCCTGGTGGTCAGTGCAATCCCACAGAGGGAGCTCCGCTCAGCCACAAGCCGGGCTGATGGGTGCGAGTGCAGCCGCGGTGGCTAGTGGTGGGAGCCTCTCCCTCCTCCTCAGCAGCGCTAAGGATGTTATCTGCTCACAGGCCTGATGCAACCCAACCACCAACACATAAAGGCCAGGTTCTGCCACCGTCCTCAAAGTTAAAGAAGCTTTTGAACCAAGACAGACTCAGCCTCTTAGTAGGAAAGCTGTCACACAGGTGAACAGGGAGAGAAACCACCTCAGAGGAGACTACGCTTTTAAGAATTCAAAAATTCTGGAAAGGTGATTAGGGATTGGTAACCAGCAGACCACTGGTTGGCGACCACTGGATAAACTATTTCATCTGCATCATTCTAGTTCAGTGATGGCGAACCTATGACACGCGTGTCAGAGGTGACACGCAAACTCATTTTTTTGGTTGATTTTTCTTTGTTAAATGGCATTTAAATATATAAAATAAATATCAAAAATATAAATCTTTGTTTTACTATGGTTGCAAGTATCAAAAAATTTCTATATGTGACACGGCACCAGAGTTAAGTTAGGGTTTTTCAAAATGCTGACACGCCGAGCTCAAAAGGTTCGTCACCACTGTTCTAGTTGCTACAGTTTATACTGGTAGAACATTCTTAAGTTTTAGAGAATATAGCAAGTTATCCACAATGCACTAAACAGATCTTATTAAGGGCGACAGAATCTAAAAGGTATGATTACTTTGATGCAGCCACAGAAGCTGAGCTTGTTGAAATAAGCTGACTTTTCCCTCTGTCCTCTATGTCCTAAATAGTTCTTAAATACCTTCCCTTTTGTCCTTTTCCTGTTACCATTCTGGTCCATCTCCCCGTCTCCCCTCTCTGATAAAATTCAAACTCCTTATCATGCTTCATACATATTTCTCTGTTCTGGCCCCTACCTGCTACCTCTCTGTCACCATTTCTTCCCTTCTCCCTGTCACACTCTACCCCCCACCCATACAATATGAACTTCTTTCGGGTCCATGAATGTACCTTATTCTCTCTCACGTCCTGGCCTTTAAACATACTATTCCTCTGCCTGGAATGCTTTCCTCTCCTCTCACTAGTCATCACCTGAGGAGAGGAGTCAGCTTAAACCCCCAGACCAGGGAGGCCTTCCATCCCTACAGTGGGCTCCTGCTTTACTGTGATGTGTGTGTGTGTCTGTCCTCCCCACTAGACACAGTGAGCCCAGGGAGGGCAGAGGCCTGCCCTTCTCCCACTGCTGAGTGGGCTGCCCTGGCACGGAAGCCAGCCTGTGCCAGTGGTTCGTAAACGTGCATTGAACTGTGCCTGCTGACTGCACAGTTAAAGCAGCGATTGGTCACTGTGATGACCATCTGATTTTCAGCCACTTTGACTGGAACCACAAAACTAGTACAGAGCAACCACTAAAGACACTGGGTGTTCGCAGCTTCTGTTGTATAGGTTGTTGCCCCGACAACAGCAACCAACCCTGATTAGGCAAGTCCCTTGAAGTCGGAGGCTGAGTGGTCTCTTCCCTCCACGACATACACTGCACCAGTTGGTGCCATTAATATAACCAGAACCCTCTTTCAATAATAGTAGGACTTATTTCTTCTAAAAATGCAGCTTTAAAAGAAGTGATGCCGTTTATAAATAAGGATAGTTTGTCATCTTTTAAGAGATATTTTTAACTTTAGGGTATTTTTTTAAGATAATTAAAATGTGTAGCCCCTGTACACTAGATAATCTGTAGGAGTTTTCATAAAGCAGAAATTAGAGATGTAATGAGAAATGGTGAGAAACATTAGTAATAGGAGATTTTGATATGCCTCTCTCAACCCAAGACCAATCAAGTGATCAGAAATAAGAACACTTATGAAAGAATATCTAAACATCATTATAAGGTTATATATCAAACTTATGATTATATATCAGACTAACACAATATTAGAGATAGTCCATCTTAAATGTTTATGGACTGTTAAAAAATTGACCACCTCTTCTGTAAAGAAAACTTTACTAAATTTCTGAAGTAGACATATTACAACATTTTATCAATACAGTGCTATAAAGCTAGTAATTATAAACCCAGAAAATAAAATGATCCTTCCACTTGGAAATTTTAACACTGCTTATTAAACAGACATTACATTACGTATAAGATTGTAGACAGCCATAGCAGATCTCAGAAACATTCATCACTGCAAACACTTTTAATAGTAAACATGAAGGAATGAAAGTAAATGAATTAAGCATCTGACTGAAAACTTTTTAAAAAATAAGAAAGCCAAAGGGTAGCAAAAAGAATCAAGACTAAAGCAGATGTATTTTTAAATATCTGCTTCCTTGTAAGCTAAAAAGTAAGTGTCCGAGTTGTAGTGTTTAAAGTTTTAAACGTAAGCTGAATTGAGCTGTAATGCTCAGGGTTTAAATCGGCAGTAAAGGATCTAGGAACTAAACATGGAGTTAAATTTAGTGAGGCAAGTAATTCCACCCTGGCTTATCTGTCCGACCAGCACAGAGAGCATAAATATTTATCAGCATGTCCGGGCACCTGAGCGCAGCACGCAGACTGTCACTCAGAAATCCTGTACTTGGAAATAGGTTTGAGTCTCTTGTCAGAGGGTTAGTGAAAAGTTTCATAGGAGAACCGCATACTTGGTCTTCGGCTGAAGCACACGTTTCTCAGAGGTTTGCTTGAGGCAGCATCATAGTATTAGATGCAATAACCAGTGTGCTCAGAAAAACGTGCCCTTCAGTTGACCGGAAGATATGGAGGCAAAGAACAAGTGCACTGCCTGAGACATCTCTTAAAAGCAGAGCTCTGCTGGGATCAGAATTAACTAGAGCAGATTTGATTTCTCTCCTAAAAGACAGTCTAGAGTAGTAGCTATTTAGTATTTCTTCTTTAATGGCTTGCATACACTAGCCAGGTAAAAAATCGGCCTGTATTTTCTTGACCCTTGGGATGCTCACTATTCATCCTTTTCAATTTTTTGATGTTTCTCATGTTTTAAAATCTTTTTTTTTTTTTTACTATCTGACTTGAGACTACATATTGTTTAAAACATGATCATTATGTAAGAAATAACACTTCTCTTTTTTTTTAATTGCCTTATGGTTTATTATTTTCCCTCAGATCAGATCTTATACATCAGAATCACCTGGGAGCCCTGAGCAGGAAAGATTCTTAGACTATCCATTTCCATCTCTGTTCTATTCATTGGCTCAGGGTGGGGCTCAGGCATTAGTACATTTTTAAGCTCATGTACATACAGAGTTGAGAACCACTGGTCTAGACTACTACTTTTAAATTCTCATCCTTCTATTTTTCTCTTCTGAAATAAGAAAATGGATCACTTTTTTATGGTTGGCATTTAAAAAGATAAACCTGAGCAACTTGAAAAAAGTGCTTATAGCTCACTTAAGAGACAGCCTTTGAATGGTTATTGGGTAGCTTAGTATGCGGGTCTTAATATAATAGCATTCTACTGTAAATGAAAGCTGATCTCAGGAATGAAATGAATACTTGGGGGATTTTGTGCTCTATGTTTTGTGAAATAATATCCTTTAGAAATGTCTCAAAGAGATAAAAACTAGTGAAATGTTCTGTAATGTATTGTGTGCCAGATGTCTGCCAGTAATCTGTGGTGGGTCAGAAAGGAGGGATTATAAAAGTTTGCTGCTTACACATATTCAGGGGCATTTCCCTATTGTTTCATGTATTCCTCTTCTACTTTCAGATTTGCAAGAACTGCACAGGTTGCTTTGATCGACATATCCCGTGTGTTTCTCTGAACTGCCCTGTACTTTTCAAACTCTCCCGAGTAAATAGAGAATTATCCAAGGCACCATATCTTCGGCAATTACTAGACCAGTTTTAAATTCTCAATATCACAGAATTCCAGGTGCTATTTTTTTCAGTGTTTACCACTAAACTGTTGTGCATGGTGCTTTTTCAACTTTCATCAAGTCAAGTATGTTCATTGTCTATTATCTGAAGACTATGAAGACTTTTATGCTAATTGAATTAAAAATTGTACTTGTTGATCTCTGAATAGCTCACTTCTTACAATGTACAAATTCCTCATCCTTTCACCCTTCAACATTGTTTTATAATGCAGGTGTGGCATTTGCTCCAGTATGTGTAACATCTTGTAAATCCATTTGAGTAGATCATATTTACTTCCCTGTGGAAGGAGCACTGAAAAACCTTTTTTAAAAAACCATTCGTGTGTTTTCCTTGAACTGTCTGTATCAAGACGTGTTACTTAGAGATATCCATTCACTTTATAATTTTGACTGCGAAATATTTTGTAAATACACTTTTTTACTTTTCAAACAACTGAGTAAAATGTGCAATGAATTTTATACAAATGATTTTCAAGTTGTTTGATATATTTCCTCTAGGTTTTGCTTGACTCAGAGTAGAGTTGTTATTCTGATCAAACTGTGCAAACAGTAGTACCACGTGTAGCATTTTGAAACATTATTTTCTAAAACCGCTGTCTTGCTGTAGCTATTAATGGGGCATTGTGAGGAACTGTGCAAAGACATTTTTGTTACAAACCTGTGGGCCTGTTGCAATACTTTAAAAATAAAAAATTTTATTCCATTTTTGCTTGTTTTGTATAGACATTTCTATTGCTTCTAAATATGCTTAAAATATTTTCTTTTCTTATGTACTGTACAGTTAATCTTATTTGCCATCATCTTGAACACAAAATGTGTATTTAGAATATTTGTATAACTGTATAAAATGAAGAAGGAATTATGTGATCAGTGCATTGTTTTTTAAACTGGAAATCATTTTGTTTTAAAAGTTAATAATGGAAACCCTATTAAAATTGAATAAAATATGAAATGTGGCAGTGTGATTTTTATCTTACTATAAATGGTATTATCTTCATCTGTTTTATAAGCTTATTTTGTTTACTTCTTACCCTACTCTTTTCTGAATTTTAATTATGTAATTTTAACTGGTTATATCCTAACTGGTGTTAAATTCCCTTACCAAACTTTAGGATTAAAAAAAAAATGGCAGCCAAAGTTGTCTAGGAAGAATTTAGCTCTCTTTTTTTTAGTAGATCTTCTCACTTGTTAGTAGATCTGAGTTCATTTTAATTTAGATATAATTAATCTTGAAGCCAGGACTTTCCAGGGGGGAAGCAAAAATGACATTATTACTTTTCAAAAATTTATATGCCCATTTTTTTCAATAGAAAAAAATTCTTTATCATAGAAAGCTCACCAAAAATAGGTCTTCCATTGCCAAATTCAGTTTCTGAAAATTATATGGTAAATATGGAATCAAATACAAAATCATGCCTCTGCACATACTTCCCCTACATGTCACAGAGATATTGGCAATCCCCACTTCTGAGATCTATTTTTGTTTGGGAGGCTGGGGCTAGTCCTCAGAAACAGGATTTTCTTACTCACGTATGGGTGGCCACTGATGAAGTCTCCTGTTATTTTCCCTTTTCTAAGTTCTGTGCTATCAGGACTTCCACTTACATCATCTTTCTCATCATAGTAACTGGACACAATATTCTCAGCAGAATAACCATTCTTAACGTCCTTATAATTGGGCACAACTAAACTAAAAACACTCCTCAACACGCGTGCCCAGACATTCTGTTTTATCCTAGCTCATCACTCCCTGTGCCTGCAGCCTGCCTGCCTTCCAGTGAGTCATTTGCTGTTTCAGGAACTATCACCTGGGAATGTACTGAAACTTGGGCCTAGTTTACCAAAAAATGTTTTGTAAGAAGCTTTCAGTATACTTTAATAATTAGTTTTCCTCCCTTTTAGATCAGCTGTTAATAAAGTTTTCTCTTGCCCTGACTGGTTTTGCTCAGTGGATAGCGCATCGGCCTGCGGACCGAAGGTTCCTGGGTTCGATTCCAGTCAAGGGCATGTACCTTGGTTGCGGGCATATCCCCAGTGGGGGGTGTGCAGGAGGCAGCTGATCGATGTTCCTCTCTCATCGATATTACTAACTCTCTATCCCCCTCCCTTCCTCGCTGTAAAAAATCAATAAAATATATTTTTTTAAAAATAAAAACAAAAAAAGTTTTCTCTTTTTACCCAGAACACACATACAGTATATAACACACACAAACAATTTCCATTTTCTGAATAATGCTGAAGAAATAATTTCTCCTACATTTGTTAAAACATTTCTCTCATTCTGCCCACCTCCCATAGTGCCTTTCCCTAGATGTGAAGTACTAACAAAAACTACGTACAACTCCACCTCCTTCCCATCCCAGAGGTCCCAATGGACAGTGGGAAACGCAAATGCCAATCATGCAATATTCCACTCTATTATGATCCACTCTCATGTGGAATCTAATGAACAAAATAAATTGATGAGCAAAATAGATTCAGAGACATAGAAGCATGGATCAGACTGTCAATTTTTTTAAGTTGATTTCTCAATTTCAAAATGGTATTTCTTACAATTTTGCATATTTGATTTTACAAAGTAAAAATAAACCTGGCTGTCAATGACATTATTAGGGCCCGGCCATGAACAGAGGTCAGAGAGGAGGAAGGCAGCCATACACCCCTCGCTATTTTTAGGTTGGATATGTCCCCATCTCTCAGTGAGACCAGCACTAGCAGGACAGTCTGCTAAGCGCACTGTACTTCCTGTTATCCTGTAATCTCTCTCCTGATGTGATGGTACTTTTTACCTTTATTTTTTGTTTCATAAAAGTGAAGTCTGATACCATTTATGCCCCCAGAGTTCTTAATGAATAGCTTTCTATAGGAAAACCGTCGTGGATTGTTTCTAGCTGTTGGGATCTGAGGAGGGAGTCATAAGACAGTGTTATTTCCACACTCTTACCCAAAGCTTTGGCCAAGTCCCAAAAGTGGCTTACAAAGCATAGTATTTTGTAGAGGAACTCAGATTTATAAAATCAGGTTTCTGTGTATATTTGGGGAAAAGGTAATATGACCAGGAAGACAGCTCAAGGCATTTTTTAATCAAAATGCCATTTTATTGTCTGAGTCTTCACCTTACTTGCTACTGATGCCACCACAGATGTCTTTTATTGGAAGGAAAGACAGGGAGGTTTCCAGAAAATAATGGGCTAGGAACAGGGAAACACCGTGCCCTGGACTCCCTCATAATCACTAATGGGAATACAACTCTTTAGAAAAGCAACTAATCTGTCATAGGTATTCAGTTCAATAATAGTCATATTCGCCCGGCCAGCTTGGCTCAGTGGTTGAGCATCAACCTGTGAACCAGGAGGTCATGCTTTGATTCCTGGTCGGGGTACATGCCTGGGTTGCGGGCTCGATCTCCAGTGTGGGGCGTGCAGGAGGCAGCCGATCAATGATTCTCTCTCATCATTGATGTTTCTATCTCTCTCCCTCTCCCTTCCTCTCTGAAGTCAGTGGGAATATATTTTTAAAAATAATAATAGTCATATTCTTTGAAAAAAGGATAATATGACCTGCTCTGATTACCCAATGGAGGCTTTATGAATGGGAATGAGAATGAATACAAATATCAAAGCACAGCGGAGCAGACTAGCGCAGTGCAAAGCCGACTAGTAAGGAAGGAGCAGAACAGAGCTGTCTAGCCAAGAGGGGCCTGGCCCCAAGGCCACCTCACAGGCATGCTGTTTTCATAGCTGTGCTGTATTACAATTGAGCTGTTTTGCACTGAATAAAGTTTCCTTCTTCATGACAAAAGAAAATTATAGGCCAATACCCCTGATGAATGTAGATGCAAAATATCCTTAACAAAATCTTAGCAAGTCAAATTGAGAAATACATTAAAAAGATTATACACGATAAGCAAGTGGGATTTATCCCAATAATCAAGGATGGTTCAACATCCACAAATCAATGATACACCACATTAACAAAATGAATAAAAATCATATGATCATTTCAGTGGGATGCAAAAAAAATTGACAAAATACACTATCCATTCATGATTTTTTTTTAAGTGGATATAGAGGAAAAGTACCTCAATATAACATATGACAAGCCCATAGCTAACATCATACTCAGTGGTGAAAAAAACAAAAGCTCTTCCTATAAGATCAGGAAAAAGACTAGGATGCTCACGCTGGTCACTTTTATTCAAGATACTATTGAAAGTCCTAGCCAGAGCTATTAGGCAAGAAAAAGAAATAACAGGCATCCAAATCAAAAAGGAATAAGTAAAACCGTATCTATTTGCAGGTGACATATACATGTAGAAAACACTAAATTGATGAGACTTTAGCTAGACTCGCCAAGAAAAAAAGAGAACTCAAGTCAGAAAGAGTAAGCATTTCAACTGTTACCTAAGAAATACAAAAACTTCCCAACATTTAATGAATGAATTCAGTAAAGTTACAGGATGCAAAATTAATATACAGAAATCCGTTGCATTTCTATACACTAATGAACTGTCAGAAAGAGAAATTAGGCAAACAATCCCATTTATAATAGCATCAAAAATAAAATACCTATGAATAAATTTAACCAAGGAGGTGAAAGCCCTGTACTCTAAAAATTATAAGATACTGATGAAAGAAACTGAAAAAGACACAAATAAATGGAAAGATATTCCATGCTCATGGGTTGAAAGAATTAATATTAAAATGTTCATACTACTCAAAGCAACCTACAAATTCAATGCAATCTCTATCAAAATTCCAATGGATTTTTCACAGAACTAGAAAAACAATTCTAAAATGTGTATGGAACTATAAGACCCTAAGTAGCCAAAGCAATCTTGAGAAAGAACATGCTGGAGGCATCATGCTCCCTGATTTCAAACTAATATAACAAAACTATAATCAAAATAGTATGGTATTGGCATAAAAACAGACACACAGATCAATGGAACAGTAGAGAGTCCAAAAATAAACCCATCCATATATGGTCAATTTATGACAAAGGGATAGTCTCTTCAATAAACCGTGTTGGAAAAACTGAACAGCAACATGCAAAGAAATGAAACTGGACCAAAGACTTAATGTACGACCTGAAACCATAAGACTCCTACAAGAAAATATAGGCACTAAGCTCCCTGACATTGGTCTTAGCGATGATTTTTGGATTTGACATCAAAATCATAGGCAACAAAAGTAAAAATACACAAGTGGGACTACATCAGACTAAAAAGATTTTGTACAGCAAAGGAAACCATCAACAAAATGAAAAGACCACCTACCAAATGGTAGAAAATATTTACAAATCAAAAATACGATAATAGGTTAATATGCAAAACATATAAAGAACTCATACAACTCAATGGCAAGAAAATGATCCTATTAAAAAATGGGCAGAGGATTTGCAAAGACATGAAAAGACACATGAAAAGATACTCAACATCACGAATCATCAGGGGAATGCAAATTGAAACCACAATGAGGTATCACTTCACACCTATTGGAATGGCTATTATCAAAAGGAAAATAATTAACAAGTATTGGTGAGGAGAAGGAGAAAAGGAAATGCTTGGGCACTGTTGGTGGGAATGTAAATTGGTGCAGCCACTATGGAAAACAGTATGGAGGTTCCTCAAAAAAAAAAAAGAACTACCATATGACCCAGAGATTCCACTTCTGGGTATTTATCTGAAGGAAACAAAATCACTTTCTCAAAAAGATATCTGATTCCCACCTTCCCTGCATTACTCACAATGGTCAAGATACAGAAAACAACCTATGTACCCTCAACATATGAATGGATAAAGAAAATGTAGTTTATATAAACAATGGAATATTAGCTATAACAAAGAAAGCCTGCCGTTTGTGACTGCATGGATGGGCCTTGAGGGCATTGTGCTAAGTGAAATAAGTCAGACAGAGAAAGACAGTATATCACATATGTGGAATCCAGAAAAAGA